ATACATATATACATACATGCATACGTCTTGTTGCACGATCTGCACATCTGCGAACAACCCCGGTTTCCTTGACATGCGCGTCCCGGCGTTGCATGGCGCGGGCAATCTTGTTCTGCACAACCTCGACCGAGAGAGCATCACTCACGCCACTGCGAACAGGCGCTGGAACTGTCTTGAAATGTCTTGAAGAAAAAGATTAAGAAGCAGAACACTCCATGTGCGGTTAGTGAGTTACACACGGTCGCCTTCTTCGTCAAACGGTGGATCTGCGCACCACGCTCCTCTTCCCAGTCCAAACCTGCTCGTGGCTGATTCGTGCTAAACTCCCCCCCCCCCCCCCCCCCNNCCCCCCCCCCCCCTCCCAACAAAAAATCGCGATTCATGCGAAGTGAAGCACGCTTTGAGATGTGAGATGCCGTCGTAAAACGTCCTGAGAAAAAAAAAGAAACAGGCTGCCCGACCTGCGGAACCAGAACCGAAGAAGACCAACACCAAAACCAATTTCAGTGCTGCCAGGAGACGTCGGGGTTCCAGCTGCTGCTCAGCCCAATTATCCTGCGATCGGCACAAGGGACTGACATTGGTGCAACTGGTAGGACGGGAAATGGGGTGGCGAAGATAGTGTCACTGAAGACTGGCATCTGCAACAGCGATCAGCAAGACCGAGAAATGCAGCACTGCCCTCGTCGAAGAGATTGTATAAGAAACTGGATCTGCTCCATTTTGGCATTGCGGAAAATGCACTCGAATGGTCAGGGGCACCCATGCACCCCGCAGCATGGAACTCAAGAAAGCAAACAGTCCCTCACGTGCTGAAACGGCAGCAGCTCTTCCTTTTCCTTCAGCCTGGGGGCCAACGGCACGTAAGGAGCACGATTGCATTTATGGTGTGAACCCACCCAGGGTCTGATCCACTGACTCAAGACACTGCAGCCAAGGCTGTGACAAATTCTGGTGTTGCTTGCGCTGCTCCTCCTGCTTTGCGCTTTCGAACTTCTCCAGCCTTGAGGGCGATCTTGCTCTACCACACTCCATCCCCGCGACAGGCTTGAAATTTTCGGAAGCCACTCTCAGACCCGGACTGCTCCGCATCGACTTTCTCGACATCCGCAGCCCACTGCTTCAGCGAAGCTGCCTCCTGTTTCGTGAGTTCGGGTTGCCGTCAAGAACGAAACAGAGCCAGTGATCAATCGAAACACAGTCGTCGGCTTCGTTCCTCGGCTGTCGGCTCCTCCACTTCGAGCTAATTTATCAGAGCAAAGGGGCCCAGCGGGCCTCCTCACGCAAGGCACGGGCCAGGTGATCGACACCTCACTGTACCAGAGCCAGCCATCTTCCAGGTCACGGTGTGTCAAAAACCCGTCACAGGCAAAAACCATGCCGCCTTCTTGGCCTGGGGTCTCAACATGGCTCACCTTTTGATGCGATTCCGTCCGAACTCTCCGGCCTATCTTTCTTCGCTAAGCACTAAAACCTAATTCCTGTAATTACCCTATACCCTATTCCCTAAACACATCTCCATGGGGAGCGGCGTTTGCTTTCGGCTTTGCGCTGGCGGATCTTGTCCTCACAGAACGGGAACTAACGTGCAAACAGGGGACTGGGCACAAGCTTTGATGAATCTCTCATAACCCGCTCTATGGCATAACTATACAGTATAGAAACTGCCATAGTATAGCTATTTGTAGCAACCCTTGTAGCAAACGTTAATAGTGGCGCCTACAGGCTCAAGTGGATTCAGGGACTCCTTCAAGGATCCGATTCGCCACTCAATCTCGCACAAGCAGGCAAGGCTCCACACAGGATTCGTTTAGGGGTTCCTTTAAGGGTACTACTTTGCGGTTCTGCAGATGAACTCTCCACTTGCGGGCTTGCGGGCTGAGGCTGTTCTGAAACTAGCTAACTAGCATTGCTGCATCACACTCATGGTCGGCACATGCAGGTGAAGTAGGGTTTGTTCTAGAGGCCCTGAACAAGGTGCACTCGATGAGTGGCTCAGTGCACTCACTGTTGGTCGTCAACTCGCGCACACGGAGAGGTAAGCAAGCATTGGGGGCCAAATCTACAGACACGCTCGAAACAATTTGGAAAAGCACATCGCCCAGCATCTCCGAAGAATCATCTGCCTGGCCCTGAAGAAACATCTTAGATCTCGCAATTCTCAAGACCATGTGCAACATTGCGCAACCATAGCACCGGCACGGCCGTCCTGGCGTTCCTTCAACACTTGGGCCTCACGCGCCTTTTCGATCTGATCGAAGCCTGTTCAATCATCATGCCATCCGAGCAGTCGATGATCACCAAATCAAGCAACAAGCTACATCGTCATTAGAATTGCCACCGCTACCTCAATGCCTCGCGTGCCGCCACAACATATGTAACGACGTAACTGCGATTGCCAAGGACTCGGCTGATGTTGCTCAGGTCATCGGCCTCAATCCTGGGAGCACAGGTCTCTCGTGCTGCATGCGTTGTGCGTAGCGAGACTAGAAAGCTCGGACGGCATCCGTTGCCGGAAGGTGTTGTCGCTCTCAGGATGCTGAAGTGGTGGGTGCGCTGTCTCGCGCAGGCTTCAGAGACCGCGAATCTACTTTTCACCCTCTATTTTTTGGAGTCTGGATGCAAGCAACGTCTGCATGAGCACGGGACATGTCTTGGATCGCAAGGATCGCAGTCAATGGTGGAAACACACATGTCATTCTCTGACACTCCTCGGGCACCCCCATGCACGTGCCATTGTCAGCTTGCCTGTGCCTGCACATGCACACCGCCTTGGGCATGGGCTTGGGATGGTTAGGCATGGGCGTGGGTGTGTGCGCGTGTGCATCTGTGTCTACGTGTCTGTTTGCTTGTGCGTATACGCGTGTTCTCGCCTACTCAGATGTCTGAGATTCAACTGTTGCTTTATTCTCGGAGACTGTGTGTGTGGGCGTGGGTGTGGGTGTGTGCAAAACTTAACACTTGCCAAAAGCTCGCAGTGAGAAACAACCGACTCCAATAAAAGCGGATTTGGCTGCAGTGTCAGGCAGTCTGTGCAGACAACTCCGGGATGTAGTACAGTATGTTGTGCTGCGCTTTGCTGCGCACTGCACTGTGCAGTACCTGTCTGTTCCAGTGGCTCAGGCATCCACTCTGAAATCTTCTTTCCGGCGACCTGCCGTCGATTAATGGCGCAGTCAGCATTGCGGAAGAACGCCGTGATTCCGTCATGACACGGCACAGTACTTCGACGTGTAAAGACAACAGGGAAGGCTTCACCTGCCTCGTTTAAGACTTCGCTCTGCATGGGAAGAAATGCTTGTGACTGGTGAATTCACAGGAGACCAGCGCCCGAGACGAAGCTTCCGCCTTGAGGTTGGTGGCCTTCTGTTCGGCTTGCTTTTTCATCTGCTCCAGCCTCAGTGTTCGAGACATGTCCCCGGACACGGGGCTTCGTCCTCCGAGGGCCCAAACACCTCCAGGTTCTTCTGCAGCTCCAACTCCCTCTTGCGCTGCTCCTGGTAGTTCCAAGCTCCCATTCCATCCGATTCCCCTTCTATTCTAGGACGGGGGCCTGCTTCTCAGCCTCGCGGCGCTTTCTCTCCTCCTCTTGCCTCATATCGAAAGTGGAGCAGAGCGGTCATGGTGTGGGATGGGGCTCGGTGCACCAAAGCTATGTCTCAACTGGTTTTTTCTGCCCCGATGGCCAAGCCGAGCAACAGCGCCCGTTGTCGCATATGTGGGAGTGTGGGAGGATCTCAAGCAAAGTATGCTTGGGATCCTTCAGAGGTGCCCGAAGCGAGGGCGTCCCAACCCAAACTGCAAGCGCAACCCTTTAAGATCGCACACCTCTAGTCGCCTCCAGCAATTCCGAAAACCCGGGCACACTCGGGCCTCTTTCGCTCCTTCTCGGCTTCCAGTGCCTCCTCCTTGCGCTGACGCTCCATAGCCTGGAAGTGCTTTGGGAGGCAGGGGGTACGACTGTCTACCGGACAATATATTTGGCTTTCTTGGTTCTGCGGGGAATGCAGCTGTCTGGAGCAAAGCGTCACGAGGGCTCTGCAAGGAGCAAACGAATCAATCTCGGGCCATGTTCGTGAACACTCAATCCTTGCAATGGTCAGGCCCCGAATACACGGGCAAACACCAAGAAACGCTTCAGTGGGGGCCTGTTTGCTTCGAAAGCGGTCCCTCAAGCAATCACAACCAAAAACAACATCAACCCTGATTGACACGTATGGTGAGTTTCAGGCCATTCTGTCTGCACAATTCACACTGGTCGTTCGAGTCCGAGATTTTTGTTGGATTTCTATTCTTTGCCTCGGTTCTTTTGTCTTCAGGTTGGTTCGTCGTCGTACTAGCAGTACTACCACCACCACCACCACCACCACCACCCCACCAACACCACCACGACGACTGCTACTACGACGACGACTACTACTACTATGATGATAGCAGCAGCAGCAGCAGCAGAAGCAGCAGCAGCAGCAGCAGGTGCAGGAGCAGGAGCAGGAGCAGGAGCAGGAGCAGCAAGAGGTAGCAGCACCAGCAGCAGCAGCAGCAGCAGCAGCAGCCGTAGCACTAGCACTAGCAGCAACAGTAGCAGTAGCCGTAGCACTAGCAATAGCAGCAGCAGTAGCAGCAGTGGCGGCAGCAGCAGGAGCAGTAGCCGCAGGAGCAGTAGCCGCAGGAGTAGGAGCAGCAGTAGCTGCGGCACTAGCAGCAGCAGTAGTTGTAGCAGCAGCAGCGGCAGTAGTAGCAGCAGTAGTGGCACCAGTAGTAATAGCAGTAGTAGTAGTAGTAGTAGTAGCAGCAGCAGCAGCAGCAGCAGTAGTGGTGGTGGTGGTGGTGCTTAGTAATAAGTAGTAGTGGTAGTAGCATTTGTAATAGCAGGCGTCGTCGCCGTCGTCGTGGCCGTTGTAGCGGTAGCGGTATCAGCAGCAGTAGCTGTAGCAGCAGTAGCAGCAGCAGCAGCAGCAGCAGTAGCAGAGTTGCAGCAGTAGCAGCAGCAGCAGCAGCAGCAGCAGTAGCAGCGGTAGTAGTCGTCGTCGTGGTGGCGGCGGTGATGGTAGCAGTAGCCGTGGCAGCGGCAGTGGCAGTAGCAGTTTTGAACTTCAATATTCCCCCTGCTAGTGAGGTCGCGGCCTCCCTCTCCTGGATCTGCTTGCGACGCTCGCCTCAGCCAGAAGCTCGTGCTTTGCATTGACCCTGTGGCTTGCCAGATCCGGAATGTTACTTGTAGTGGTGACCCACGCGGCCTGAGAGGGTTCCCACCACGTCTCAACAGCAAGTGTTCTCTGCATCCATAGCCACCAAGACCCACGACGCCACGAACCATTCGTCTACCCCGCTTGGCAAGGCTTGCCCTGCGCTTCAATTGTTTACAGCAATCGACTCAGCCAGATGGACTGAATCTATGCCGGCTCTGGATAACGGAAAGAATGCACCGGAGAGCACGATCGCTTCGAACCGCATGGAAGCAATGAAGCCAAAGGACAGCACAGCGGGCGCATGGCATGCAGGCATGGACCAGGCATCGCACTCTCTTCCTTGCGCCTTTCGATCTCCTCCTTTCGCTGCCGGATGGACCTCGTCTCCTGTGCATGCATGGTGCATCCGCCGCACTTTGATCATAGCGTTGAGTCCCAGACACAGGTGGCAGAAATTGGCCAAGGACATCTCAAGAAGACAAAAGCTGCGGCAACCCAGTCCTGCTCCATCCTCTCCTTGATGTTTGTGAGAAGCTGCCTCAGCGCGCAGACTGAGATGTGGAAGTCCAAAGACATGTCTCGCAGCACCTCATGAGCTCAAAGACTCCACGTAGTCGAGGCCCCGGCTGCTTCTCAAGCTTGTCCTTTCTCTGCAGCTCTTCCTGCCGATGGACGCAACACCCATCACCCTCTCCGTGGCACATCCCAATAGCCAATAGCCTTCACGTGTTTCGGAGTCCCGCTGGATACACGATTTCGCCCATGAAAAGCCGCTGCACGTTGAGTATCAGCCCCCCAACGCCAGCGGGTCCTGGGCAACGCACTGCATAGCCTCAGGATCAGAGAAAGTAGCTCCTCTAAAAAAGTAGCCTAGAAGCAAAACACCTACTAGGCGACCATTCTGCAGATCTCGAGAGAACTTTTTCACGAAGCCCAGACAACCCTGCCTGCTGCAGCTTGAAGCCTCGCAGTCTTGCAAGACAACTCGCTTTTTGACTTGACCACGAGCAAAGAAATTCAAAGAGTTGGACGTGGCCAAATGTCAGCGCTCACTTTGTCAGCTAGAGGAACAGGCACGGTTCCACAATCGCGCCATTCATGTCGCAAGTCAGCTGAGCCCGTTGCCAATTTCGATAAGCGGCTGACGCATGCTCTTCCTAAGGGCTGACTGGACAATACAATTCAATACAATTGTAATGTCATGTGTAGCCACTGGTTGTGAAGGCCCCGGCATGTCAACTTTGGTCGGCGCCCCAAAGATGATGGCCTTCTGCATGTAGTTGATCTGAATGCTGATGCCTGCCACACATCCAACTACTCCGGCTCAACCTAGCCGGGTCCTCTTCGCGGGACATGCGTTCACAACACGAGATGGGCAATGCCGGCACTCTTCAATGACGAGAAACAGGCGGCATGTTCCCACCTTGCTGACGTGAGGCATTCGCCATCCATGTCTCTGCGATGTTGAAGGGCCTTGGCCAGGACATCTGCAACCTAGTTCGACCCAAGCCTTCCCCAATACACAAGCTGCAGTGTGTGCAATGACTGTTTTGGCAGAGGCTGTGGCACAATGGATGCCGCATTCTCGAAATCTTCGATGGTCATGCTCACATACACCTGTCGATGGAGGTATGCGGCCTGTCCTCGAAATCTCGAAATTCCTCAACTGTGTTCAACTGTGCAGTCTGCAAGTCCCATCTTGCATTCATGTTCTGCTAAGCCAGCACGAGTGGTGAACGTGCCCGGGGCCTCTGACAGTTGCTTGATCAAGCGGAAGAAAATGATCTGCTTCAGGGGGATAACCTTGCATTGGTACACATGCTAAAGCTCGGTCGAATCTACTCGTAGTTCATTGTAGTTCTCATGACCCGTCCCTGTGATCCTCTTGAGTCGTTTGACCGCAACAGTGCCCACCACAGACCACAGAGAGAGAGAGACTGTTTTGGCTTTTTACCCCTACAGTACCTGCTTTCTTCAGGGGACCCGTGCCGAACACAAGCAACATAATCCACAAACCGGTAGTACAGAAAAGGTTGAAGCCAGCATGAGCCCGGGGAGTAGCCTGTGACTGTGTTCTTTGCATCAGTTTGACTAGAGCTGGTTACGTGCATCCTTGTTTGCTCTTCCAACCGCGCTAAGACCCGGAGCAGCAGCCCCTGCAATGACAGGGGAAAGCGATACTACATAGCACAGAGTGAGGGTCAGCACAGGCGAGGTCAACGAGGCGGGTTGTCAGAGGGGACGGAATAGGGTAACTAGGTAGCCTCGAACTTGACAACCTGAGCTGACTCCCACATCCGTGTCACCCGACCCGAAGACAATGGACATCGGCGTAGCGCGAGAGCGCAGGGGATGGGGTCTTAGGATCCCTCCCCAGACGTCGTGCAAGCAAGCAAGAAAGCAAACAGAGAGGGAAAGGGAGCGACGGAGCGAGGGAGCGAGGGAGGCGAGGGAGAGAGGAGAGAGGGAGAGAGATAGAGAGAGAGATAGGGAGAGCGGGAGAGAGGGAGTGGGAGAGGGAGGGAGGGAGAGAGAGAGAGAGAGAGCGAGGCATGAACCGGGGACCTGCCATTCGCCACCCGTTTCTGCTGAGATCCCGCACGTAGTCCTTGAGTTTACCCTCGCAAATCTCATCGGAGGCGATCTGGTCCAGGTACGGCTTCGCATCCTCTGCAGCCCAGAGCCTCTCTACCCTGAGACCTGGTGCCACAGGCTCGACCCCTCCTGGCAAAGCGAGAGCGGAGTGAAGTCCGACTCGACCTTGCGGCAAACCATCGGCAGAAAAGCAGTGAGCATCAGGAGCAGGAGCATTCCCAAAACCGAACAAGTGTCCTCGACTTCACCCCGGGACCACAGAGGTCCCGACCAATCCAAAAAGCTTCGCGCAAGGGTCTGCAGCGAGGCTCAGCCTTGCTTTGATTTCGCTCGACAAAGTTTTTAAGTTTTTGTGCTGGAGGCACTTTTGCAGATGGCCAACTGTCGTGCAGCTGATCCATGCAGCTCTGGCAAAGCTCCGGGCAAATTCTTCTCTGTGATCTGACCTCGGCGTCTCAAAACTCAGGTAACTTGAAATTTAGTCATATGGCATGTGTGCACATGTTCGCAAACCCATATTGCAGCGTCGTTGAAGCCGCAGACTGCTGATGGAATCGCGAGTTGGCACCTCACGTAGCGAGGACATCTCAAGAGGGTGCCATCGTGCTGCCAGGCTGCCCGTACCCACGAGGGCTTGCTTCGTCACAGCCACTGGATGGCATTTTTTCGCCAAAGACAGGCACTGCCCAGGATTCCGAATATCATTGAACGCCGAAGCTGATCCCGGGAGATATTCTGCTGGTATACTCCGACAAGCCGAGGTCCATGCACTCTGCGCGCTGAATAAGAAGGCGTTCTTCTTGGCCTGCGAAGGTTCCGATTCTATGCACAGTACGTACAAATCGCATCTCAGAATCGAAGCATGTTGCTATTTAGGACATGCTTGCTTCGCAAAGCCTTCTCGTACTGATGTGAACCATCCGTGGACATCTCCAGGGAAGCCTGCCGGCACGGCAGGTTGGGATGGTGCCTCTCGCAATCTCGCGGTTTGGAGCCCTCATCATGACCTAGGCCTTGGCCTTTGCAAGATTCGTACCGAAAGCTGGAATTCAGGAAGTCTCACACACGCATGCGCTGCAAAACTTCAGGCTGCACCCCTTTTGAGCACGCCTTACAGGCTCTGGCACAAATGCTAGGGCTCTTGGCGGTGCGCATTACTGATGCCCTCAACACGCTTGCAACCCACCATCCAGTGCACCATTCCGTTTCAGATCCACCACACGCTGCAGCAAGCTGTCAAGGCTGGGGGATGTTCAAGTCGCTGTCGCTGAAGTCCTGGACTACCGTCCCCACCTGAACCGCCAACATGCTGCGGGAGAGTTCCAGGGAGTCACTAGTCTTCGAGATCATCGCTGGACTGGGCTCCTTTCTTCTGCAACAAGAAGGCCATCTCTTCCTCACCGTTTGCCACTGCGAGGTCCAAGGCAGTGCGACCATAGCGGTCTTGGCTGTTGACTTCTAGCCCAGGCTGGCGCAGAAGTTCTGACAACAAGCCGGGACGCTTCGACTTCACTCCTGCATGCAGCAAAGGTTGTCCCCTGACATCTCGCATATTCACATCTGCCCAAGACGGCCACGGCTGTCCATCAGTGGGCATTGCAGCTTTGAGAATCAGGCTCATCGATTTCTCGTCGCCACGTTGTATTGCTGGCATGAGGCCCTGGCTGAAGTTCAACAGGCTGACATCTGCAGTCATGAATGCCACGACCTCCTTGTGCCCGTTCTCCACAGCATGGTCCAAGGCTGTGCGACCACTGGCATCCATGGCATTCAGGGCGATGCCAGCACGTAACTCCAGAAGCCGCTGCACCACCTTCAGCCGGCCTGCGCGAGCAGCGGCAATCAGAGCAGTCTGCCCATCGCCGTCCTCTTTTGCGGAAAGAAAAGGGGCCGGAACTCACACAAGATTCAGAAACGACATGCCGTTCGCCACGAACGCTGCCTTCGCTTCAACGTCGGCAAACTCTTTCAGGATCAGCCGCTCCACCTGAAGCCGGTGCCCAACTCTGTTGCTTGCTTGCTGAGGCCTTTCTCTTTCTTTCTTTCTGCTGGGCGTAGGGGTCGTGTTACGACCCTCAGGCCTTCGGCCCGCCCAACCCCTCACACATATCTCTATCTATCTATCTATCTACCTACCTATCTATCTATCTGTTTATATATATATATATGTGTGTGTGTATATGTATAAATGAATATACCTATATACATATACATATATATATATATGTGTGTGTTTATTTACTTGTTTAAATTTATATCTATATTTATATTTATACTTATACCTATATTTGTACTTATATCTATATTTATAATTATACACACACACGGATAGATACATATATATATGTGTGTGTGTATGTATGTATGTATGTATGTATGTATGTATGTATGTATGTATATATATATATATACGTATGTGTAGTATCTCTCTCTCTCTACCAGGCTATAGATAGATAGATATATATATATACCTATCTTTCTTTCCCCTGTGTTATGGGCAGGAGGGAAGCTATATATGCCTATCTCTCTCCCTCTCGCTCTCCCCTGTCTCTCTCTGCCGTGGCATCCTCAAGGGTCTCCCCCCTAAATTGCCCTCCTTCATCGTTACTTCGAGGGATGTCGGCAAGACCACCTTCACCACTCAAGTCTTGGAGCACCACTGTGCAAGGGCTGACGAGTGGTACAAGTACGATGTGAAGCTCCCTCCATCCCTATGAGAGGCCATCGCCTGCTCCAGATTGCCTGCGGCAGCAGCAAATATGAGCTTTTGAGAGGCGTCGCTCATGGCGACACGCACGGAGGATTCGCGGAACTCTCTCTAGTGTCTAGGCACCTAGAGCCTGCGGGTGACATCTTTACTCTAGTCGCTCTAGTCCTGTATTTAGCGCCGCTTGAGTGCCGCGATTGTCATCGGCAGGCTGACAACTTTCTCTTCTCGGCTTGGAAGGTGTTGCGATACAAAACATGCGCAGCCCAAAGGCACGGAGGCTTGCAAATCTCACCATCGGAAAAGCAGCCGTTTTAAGCCAATGTTGCGCCGTCAACTTGGTCACAGCGCATCGGAGGGCACTAGGTAGCGCCACCCTAAGATTGATTTATGTCATGGTGGAAGTTACGTAACTACGAAACTTGAGTCGTGGCTGTCGCACACTGACCCCTTGCAAGCTCCTTAGTTTCTGAGAGCTTGACCGATAAGTTTACAAAGTGAAACGGAGGTGAAACATGTGAGACAGGTGGCCTGCACCAAAAGCACTGAAGTTTCGCCAAAAGGCTTCTGTGGCTCGTGGGATTCTCTTTCGTTCTCTTGGCTGGCTAGACATTGTCGGACCTCATGACATTTTAGGGACCGGCAAAAGTCGCACAAGCACGACACCGGCTCTCAGAGCGCATGGGTCCTTCAGTGGATGCCTCTGGGATGATGACGTATATTGACGCATACTCAGTGTGGGTTCAAGGAGGTACGCACCTTCCCCTCCCGGCTTGGAAACCGGTCAGTACAGGTCAGTACGAGGGCTGCGGCAACGGTTGGCTGCCCTGGTTGTACTCCTGAAAGACTGCAACATCATGCGTCTTGCAGCTGCCTGACTCTCCTTGCACAACCCAAGTCGTCCGCGACCCACCACACACATCTTGAGAAAGAAAACATGAACTTTCACAGCGAGCCACTTCCTTGCGAAGAGATTCAGATTGTGTTGTGCTCTCTACAGGCCCACTTCTGGGTCTGGAGATTGTCAAGATTTTAGAAAGTTGTGTGGGGCCTCTAGTTCTAGCATCTTCTTTGTTCTGTTCTTTTCATAGCTCAACTGCACAATTGTTGCTGTCGATGGTTCCTTCATCCAGTCACCTGCCTATCCTTTCCTGACACATGCTAGCATTTCTTACTAAGTCAATACGGTTCAATTACTTTTGTAGTTGTACAGCAGCAGTGCCGGTTGCAGTTGTAGTGGTCGTGCCAGCGTCACAGCACAGTACCAGTGGGTTGTTTTCTTCGCTTTTAACCTCTCCAACGGGTGTTCGGCATTTGTGCCGTTCGCTCCTTGTACTTGGCCTCCCGCGCAGACCTGAGTCAGGGGCGGAGTGAGAACAGCGAGGGCTCCATATGTTCCACTGGTCTTCGGCGAACTCGCTGGGAACCACACAGAGGGGCTCGGCCGCCGCCTTTCCGCGGACCTGGCTTGCCTCGTGCATGCCTAATTTTGCAAACTCGGCTGCACGGACACACGGAATGATATTCCCTAGAACAGCGCTTGAAGCTAAGCGATGCTGTCACGCGCCGAACAAGTGCCCGATGCATTGTCCTGCGAGCCGTGGAGTCGGAGACGACTGGTTCGTCGAGGCGGCCTGAAGACTATGCACAGACATGAGAAGTACTGTACAAAGGGCACACTTGCGGAGCTCCATGAAAGCAGACTCGTGGGCCTTTGCCGTGCTGGCGGTATTTGCACGGGTGGAAGTTCCTTCTTCCAGCTCTCCGAAGCTGTGGAACCCCTGCCAGGATTTGCAGAGCACCCTTCGATCGGAGGCTTCTCAAAAGACAACAGTGAAGATCCAAGGCCTGCGTTGTCCAAATGGAGGGCAGCTGCTGAACGCTCTCTGGAGGCGGCTTGCCTCCGGTATGCTGGATCCTGGACAGCCACGTGTTTCGCTGGCCCCGCTCAAACAGATGACGAGATGAAATCGCATCGTCACGCACAAGTACCGGCAAACGCGCATGTGCCCAGCGCAGCTTCTCAACCCAAATAACCCACCTCTTTCGCCAGCACGTGTTTGCTTCTAGGGATGGGAGGCTCGGAATGATTGAGGGGAAATGGTGCCAATCGTGCTCGAAGCTGGCTGTGCACGTTTCAGCCAAGAAGCTTCGTCCGCTGCACATCTGCACGCTCGATTCGGCCATCCTGTTTTGCAGGGCAGGCAGGCTAGCAGATCCGGATATCGGTTACAGCAAGGCTGCAGTGACGTGCTGAGCTCACGGCCGTCTTGGATGGTTCCGACATGGACTGAATGGCAGGTCCTGATGACATCTGATGACAGCCATCGCTAGCCAGCGCCAAGCCAGTCCTTGCTTGCTGAACTCACTTGCGTCCATGCGCGATGCCCCATCTTCAATCGGCATCGGTTGGCTGCCTCAGCTTTATCAGTCCTTCATGCAGCTCTTAGGCCCTCTTAGGCCTTATCGGCCTTATCCTTGAGCGGCCGCAGAATGTTTCTTCAGTGCCAAAGCTCTTCATCAAGAGCTCCACAGCACCGAGACACAGGGTTTCAAAACAAGTCGCTCATGGTTGTCTTGGATGCCAGTTGCGCCTCTTCGATCTCCAGCACGAGCCTCTGCTGGTGTGAGCAGTTGACATAGTCGCGGCGCAATTTATATCATAAACATCTTCTAGTTGTCAAGCATTCGAGGAAGGGAATCAGCCGAATGCTCTGGCCGCCAGCGATTGTAGGATAAGCCGATCAGGATGACAGAAGACATTTCGCAAATGCTGCATCCACGGAGCTCCACGGACTCATCAACTGGATCGATGACATTCCTTCAGTAGCAGCACAGGTGTTGTGCTCGATATTGGTGATTCAAGAAAACGATCGTGGAACACCCTGTGAAACAGCTGTTTTTGTCGCAGCCATGGTACTCAAAGCGTGCGAAGTTCACGCGCCCGAGCAGCCTCACCGCACACATGGCTGGCTGGCACGAACAAAACGAAGGCAACTTTTCAGCCCACCCAAGAATGCTCCCAGACTGCAGCCGTGCAGCTCCGGCTGCTCAGCTGGCTCCTGCCGCGCCTGAAGACATGCATGTTGGAATTACTCCTTTAGTTTGCTAAATGAACGCCCAATGGCGCTCACACCTGACACAAATTATGATCAATGCACGAACATATAATGGACATGACCGACTCAGCCTCGCGAATCAGTCAAGATACCCGAAGTGACAAAACTTGTCAACCGAAGTTACCAACCTCCTTCCGAAGCCGTCCAGCCCAAAGCCAGCAGCGCAGTGTGACGTTGGGCGGGCAGCTCAGGAAGACAGAGCAAAAGCCCGGCCGTGCACCTTCGGCGTGGCTATCGTGATGATAACCACCAAGGCGAACAACAGCTGCAGTCATCACCATGGGCATCGGCATCCAATGTCGTAATAAGACTGGCAGCGCCAGGAACAACATCGTCTGCTTCGTTGTCACCACTTACAGTGATCGTCATAATCATCATCGCCACCAGTCGCAGTGATGGTTGCAACGCGCGTAAGAGGCGTCGGTTCAGGTTCCCTTGAAAGTCAAAGCAGTGCAGGCAGGACTGTTTTGTAGTCCGGGCACTCCTGCTTTTGGGCAACAATACTCGTGGCATTACTACTACAGTACAGACCACTAGATTGTCACTAGATGTCCAGAAAAGCAGAAGCGGGCTTCAATTGTAGACCAAGCCACCAGCGCACCCTTGCGGGTAAAATACGAGCCTCGAGTGAGCGGCTGAACATGGGTTCGGGCAGACGAGAAAACAGATTCGACCAGAGTTACATGGCTTGTGCGGAACCAAAGGCTTCAGGGCTTCTAGATTGATAGCCCAGCTGCTGCATGCCGCAAACGCCCGCTGCCTGGAAGGCCGTGCTTCGCACAGCCTGGTCAGCCGAAACTCTACCATAAAACGAACTGCAGCAAGGACACCACGCTGCACTGCACCCTGGTCTAGTTCTGTCACGTCCTGTCTTAACTGCCGTCGCAGGATCGCCTGCTCCTTGGAGAAATTCTGATACAGCATCGGGCCATTCTCAAGACGCCACTGCACGCGCCGCACCGCGCGTGAGCGCATGACGTCCACCTCGTACAGAAAAGCTTCCCAGGAGACCCGACCCAGCACAACAGTCTCGAGACAAAGGCCCGCCTTCTTGTGCAGCTGGTCCAAGAAAGCCTGGGTCCATTTCTACTGGAAGACCACGCAATCCACTTTCAGCCTTCACACCCTCTAGCGGCTATGAATGTGACGGTCGGTCACGACATCACGTGGTCACGACAGGACTGGACAGCTTTAAAGCAAAAGCGGTGTGCCCACCTTATATACCCGGAACCGAACCACGACAGTGAAACAGTGAACGCTCAATGTCTGAAGAAGCAGGTGACCTTCCCCTGCGACTGCATCAGTTCCAGCAGCCGGTGGTTCACGTACCGCTGCACCTGGTTCTGAAAAATACTTGCCGCAGATATGTTGCGAAAAATGCCGCACTCTCCTGGTGGCCCTTTATGCATTCTCCTCTTTGCCTTTGTCCATGAATCTTGCAACAAAGCAACGCTGCCATGACGAGCCCCACTTCATTATGGCGGGAATCCCACCTCTTGGGCTTCCATCTATTGGTGACACGACGATCTTTCATCCGTTGCGACTTCTTTGGGAAGCCAAGGGTGAAAGGGAAACCGTGTCAACACCAGCCGAGGCTATAAGGCTTTGCCCACGACTTTGTCCCAACAGGCAGAACCACACTGCTGCTGACAATAATTCCCGCCCAAGAGCCGCGAGCACTCCGTCCACAGGCCCGCGCGATTCCTTGAGCAGTCGCGCAAGTGCCCCTGCATGTGTTCTGACAGCAGCTGCATTCTTTCACACGCCTGGGATCCTACGGGACAGCTCCAATCCTTAAACCGCGCCGGTCTCCAGCCCTAGTACTAGAGTCTCAAGCATCAAGCTTTTAATCGAAGCTGCAACCGGTTCGTCTGCCGGCGCAGCCATTGGATCGGAGGCACTGCCTTACGTGTGAGAACCAGGGCTGGGCACCAAGTCTTGGGGATATCTTGCGCAGTTGACCAATGTCCAGCATCTGAACTCTTCACAAGCCATCCTTAAACGCCAAGCGTCTGGAACCCGTAGTGCTCTCCTGAATGCAACGCATCAGTAAGCATCCGAAAATGCCCCCGATGTGGAATGCATCACTCGATGGCACCGTGAAGGAAGCTGATACAACTTCCCAGTCATACAGGCGGGTTTGTGAATATTCTGCTGGCCGAAGCTTCCACCAAGGACTCATGGATCTCGATTCCGAGCTTCAGCGAGCCATCCAGTGACTTCTGCTCAATAATGGAGCCCATGCGCCTGAGGGACAGCTTTGTTTTCTAGGTTGCTCTGGGGCAGCCTCTGCCCCTAGCACTACAGTCGAGGCACTTCATACCGCAAGGCGATTTCCCATCGAAGCTGTGCCGCAGGACGACGGACTCCGTTCCTGGCTCGCATATCGTGAACACGGCGAGCAAAGACTTTGCGTCCGCTCACATGTATCACTCTACCGACCGACTGCCACTGTAGGCAACTGCGGCTTGCTGTGCCGATGGCCACATAACAATGACCGATGGTACCAGACGAAACTCCCGCCACATGCACTGCTGTGTGAGTTGCATTCGCTGAAACGGTCGTGGGCAGCTTTAGCACTAGGCCGTCTCAGACAGTAACACCGCCTCGCAGCTGTAGACCTGAGGCGCAAGCCTAAAAAGAGGCGGAAGACCAGCTGCAGGCCACGACAGGCCCACAGGTACAAAGAGCAGACGTTTCCAGAGGCATCCTCCTGCGCACTTCTTCGACTTCGGCCCTTCTCAAAGTGCTACTGCAGCGATTCGACGCACTCAGGGTAGCCTCGTCCCCGGGCGCCGAGCGGCGCGTGTGCACACGGAGCTCCAGCTGCATGCCGCGAGTCCCAGCCGCCTGCAGGCACAGTCACATAAGCTTAAGCTACAGGCAATGTGCTTGGCCGTGGTTTTGTATAGTGAATACGGAGGCACCATTACACGACAAAGACAGAACCACGAAGATGCCAAAAAGCCAAACAAACATAAATGGACAGTGGCATGAAAGCTGCGCACAAGTGCGCCTCGAAGGGCGGCGAAAAGAAGCTGGCCTGCTGACGATGCGGAAGACAGTTCTCGCAGATGCATGCACCCCTTTCGGTCACATGTGCGTTTGAAAAGGTTTAATTTAATTGCGCAGCTTCTGGGCACACAAACAGCTTAGCCTTCTGCTGTTGGTACGACTGCGGTCAGGGTTAAATAATCCAGCCGCAGCTAAGGCTTCCTTTGGCCTCCACCTGCCGGCATTTTCGCATCTTCACCCAGGCCGGCCTGCGCGTCTCCCACCAGAGACGGGTCGTCTACAGGCTCATGATCCTGCATTGGGCGACATGATGCAAAAGGTGTGACGTGCAGCTCGAGCGAATCCCCATTTGTGACTTGCGTGACAGAGTCTGCGGCACACTGAGCAAGGAATCCTGAACCTTCTCCAGCTGTTTTAGCGTATCTTCTGGGAGCCGCCACTCCACCTCACAGTTTCACGAGTCGGCTTGCGATGTCGATGGCCTTCCTGTCTACCAAGAGTCAAGGCCTTTTGGCCACAAGCCGCAGAATTCGAGCAGCTACTTCACTCTCTCGGTCTATCCTCGCCTGAAGCTATAATCAAGCCCTGATGCACCTGTCTGGTCGGCAGTCCGGACACACCAGCACAGAAAGCGTTGAGCCGCGCAGATTCACCTTCAACGTTGCTCTGCACATTCTCAGGTCTCATACAGGGCTTTGTGGAGCACAGCCCGAAGCCCCACCGAAGAAGTGAGCTAAGTATGGCTGAGATAAGTGCCTTGCAGCAGCTCGACATTTGCCCGGTTCTCTGCTAGAACTGCCGCGCTCCGGTCTTCGGCCTGGCTGAGGAATTACATGTCCCGACTTCAGTGAAGTACTTTTTGGGAAATGCTGTGTCGCAGGCATGTTATAAATGCCTGTAAGATTTCTTGTTTGGCTGATTGCAGGCGCAGTGGGGTGGGGCTTCTTATGTCGAGAAGTTTGCTGCTCGGCATCAAGAAAGAATGTTGGCGTCGCTATACCGAGGGCTCGTCTCAGCAGCGCAGATCTGGAGGCTGTGGCTAGCTACTGACAGGTGCTGCTCTCTCCGGACCTCGCGGCGGAATTGCTGCAGCTGCTGCTGGCTCTCCTCGGCGTCTTGCCTGAGCTCCTCGACGAAGCTGCGTCCAAGACGGATGAGCAGCTTGAAAAAGGCAAACTGAAAAAGGCGACAGAAATTCATCACAACAGAGGCAGATCATGACCGATCGATACCTGGCGGAGTTCACAAACTGCCAAATCGCAAACTGTTCAGCGGCATTCCGCTAACTGCCAGGAGCAGTGCGTCAGTTCCAGAGCACCCGGTCCTGGCAGTTGTCCTGTGCACGCCACAAGATAGCAACATTCCAGTTTCATTCGTCTCAAGCCAGGGTTTTCGGGCTATGTCTGAAGCGGAAGCCGTCCCACCTTCATTTCACCGTCTAGCTTCTTCAGCTCTGCATGCATCACCTCCTCGCATGCATTCTGACGTCACCGTCTGCAGATATGTCTCCTTCTGCCGAAGTCAGTTCCAATGTAGTAGTGGCATTGTGGAATCTAACGCTCAGAACCTGCAGATACTATCTTAGACAACTGCCGCAGCAGAAACAGCCTCCTCGTGCTGACGGGCCTGCTTTTCCAGCGACACCTGGGGCTGGGCCGGCCGCCGTGCATGCTCCACTCTTCCCTCAGCATCCGGCTCGAACACCCTGGAGCGCTCAAACCCGTCCGACCCGCGTCCGACGACACTTGACGTCGTTGGCAGCTTGGCCTTCCCCTCGTTTTATAATTGAACGGGCACCTGCTCTTCGGTCAGCTGCTTCGAGGCAGCTTCAGCCTGCTTGGCCGCTTCTGCGGTCATATGCAACAGGGGGGTACTAAGCGCAGGTCGCATGCTCCCCAGACTACAGCAACCTGGGCAATCTTCTTCTCCAATGACTGTTCCAGGGCCTGTCAGCACGGCAGTTCAGCACATGCCCAGCACTGACCTTTTTGCAATGCTCTGATGGTCATTTCTCATGACGCCAACTTATGCCAGATCTTGCCCAACACGGCGCCGGTACGAACTGCCTAACACGCAGCCGAACTGGCCTAACTAAACACAGCTGACATGTATCTGCGAGGCTGACCATGCTACAGCGTAAGCCCGGCAGTGATGGCCTGCTGCTTCTGCCTGCTCTCCTCGACCATGGTGTTGCACTTCTCCTGTCGAATGGCTGGTGAACTTCCAAGGTGAAACCGCTTTCAGAAGGTCGCCGGTACTCAGACTCTCATTTCAACCTGGCATCACAGCCGATACTTTACAATAGAGCTTGTGGCTCGCAAGGGTCCATGTCTTTGCGACCGACATGTGCCGACTGCATCTTCGCACGAGAGATGGCTGAATTTGAGCATGCCTATCACAGAATATCGCTCAGCACAGTGAACAGGGCATAAACGAAACTCGACGAAGAGTGGTGCCTCAAGGGCCTGCCGCGTCTCCTCAGTACCCGAGGTTTGCCGGGTGTCTGTGGGTTGCTACTTGCAGATTGCACTCCCAGCGAATGCCAGCGAGGCACTCTCATGTTCTGCTCCAGCGCTGCAAAACTCTGCCTTGGCACCACAAGGGGCTGCCGTCTCTTCGCAGCCTCGCAGCCTCTCGCCCGCCTGCACCTTCAACCCGAAGCCTGGGCTTTTGCAACCTCCAGGCAACACGACTCTTCATTGCATCCCGGGCTCTGCATGGATGCCCTCGGCCAAGCATGCTCACGAAATCTCGTGCCAGACGCTGCAACAAACAATCTTTGGAGGTCTCAGGTTCAAAGCCGCTAGGACCCCCTGTGCAGCAGAGGCTCTGAAGTTCCTGAAGTCCTGGCCAGGCCGCTGGGCAGAGCTGTAAAGCGCTTGCACAGGGACGCTTCCGAATCAAGCATCTAAAAACCGGCCTTTACTCATCTCCCCACGCACTGCGGATGTGGCCCCATCCAAATCTTTCTTCGCCTTCCTGGCTCGCAGAGACAAAGATATTTTTGGACTACGACATACTATGATGCTTGCATGCCGTCCGCTTATCCGTGACAGCACCCGTTAAGTGCAGCGACATGCAACTTGGCCAAGGTTCGTGGACACCTCTTCTGCCTTGGATCCGTGTATCGGGATGCGAGGAAAGGAGCAAGTGGGGATGGGTTGAATTGCAGCTTCCATTCCTGTGCATTCCCACATTCAAGACACCGAAAAGACGATTCGGACCGAGCCGGCATACACGCATGTTCCCGAAACATTACTACATTGCCTGGGCTCGAAAGCAAACAATCCCCCCAGTTTTCCTGAAAGCAGACTAAACTGGACAAATGCTCCCCTAAGTCTGCTCCTACACCAATCTCGGAGACAGTCTCGCAAATGCGTGTCCCGGTACCAGCAACTGGTGCCTTAAGCTAGAGTCAAGCCCGGCTGCGTCCTTGCGCGCCGCTTCCAAAGCATGTTTCTCCAGGTCCTGTGACTAGCAAGTAACCAACCAACCCTTCGAATATAGTTCCCGCTGTTGAGTCCTGCCGAGCTTTCTTCAGCTCCTTGGCGCGCAAAAAATACGCAAAGAACACGAAAGCCCCAGAATTTCCCAAGCGCCTCCAGGTGCTCCTGTCAGGCTGGAGACCGTCAGCGCCAAATGCTACAAGAATCCGTGGGCAAGCTCCTGCTGCGCCTTGCTCTGCATCTCATGCAGTACCTGCATGTCCCGGCAAGCAACATCTGTCACGTTGACAAGGGGAGTTAATGCAGGGTCTGGTCTCGTGCTCGATGGAAGCTGCCGGATTGTTAAGCACGTATCAGTTGCACTCGCGCAAAGCAAAAGTGTGCTGTCTTTGTCTCTGTCACTGTTGGTGCTACCATTACCAGCACCCACCTTGTAGTTTTGGTTGGCCAGATCATGAACGCCTCAAGTCCACGAGCACAACCAACCAAGACCACTACGGCAAGCACGACCAACACATACAAGACCGCCCCATCACCGCCACCGATCAAAAGCATCAACAGCAGCGACATCACCGCCAAAGCTACAACCACAACCACAACAACCAGCACCACAACCACCACCGCCACCACCACCCACGACCGCAACCACAACAAAAAGGCGCCATCATTGCGACAGCAACCACTGCAACCACTGCAACTACAGCAACCACAACAACGATCACCTCCACCAGCAACCAAGCAAACAGACCAGAAAGCACAAAAGCATGACAAACACAACATCATCTCTGGAGAGTCTGGTGGGCCGGTGTCAATGAGTCTCAGGGCTCTACTGGTGACGCGCTCTTCCAGAAAGTCTGCCTTCGTCTTCAAGTCGGCGACCTTGGACACCTTGGTACTGTGGGCAAAACTCCTGCAAGACTGCATGTGGTAAGCCACCCGCCTCGCCATTGAGCTCTTGTCGGAGATCCTTCGTGCGAAGGCGAAGCATGGCAAGAAAAGATGACGAAACACTCAGGCGAGCCATCCCTGTGCACGTGAAGCCCGGGAAAACCAGTGGCAGATGTTCTGTGTAGTGCCGGCCAATACAATCACCTTCAGAATGCTACCAGTAGGAGGCGCTCCGTTGTCTCCGACTGCAGCTTATTCATGCTTTCTTCCTGGTCCTGGCAAGCCACATCTCTGTCAGACTCTCTGGTGGGGCGTAGAAAGAAGTGCACTGGCCTGTATCTTTTGTTGATGCTGGTTCAGCGTGTAGCTGCTGTCCTGCAATTCAGCCCTTGCCATTGAAGTTGCCGTGGAAGCCCTGATCCCTGCATCCACGCGAGCCCACAGCTAGGCTCCAAGTCCTTTTCCAACATGGAGGTCAGCTGCTCAAGCTTGGTAATCTGGCCCTGGCTGGAAAGAGTCATGCTGGTCACAAGACGGCGTCAATGGCAAGTCTGACTGTTCATAGGCCCAGTAGGAAATGTCTACGGCCTATGCATGCGCGGTCCCAGATGCCCAGTGCCTTTACAAACTCGTCTCGCTTCTTCGCATTGGAGGCCAACTGCTGCACTTCGGCCTGCCGACAATGTAGCTGATTTGTGCCACAAAACTCTTGTAAGAAGTTGCCTTCAGGTCACTGAGGGCATCTGCAGTGGCATACTCGACAGCCTGAAGCATGCATACACGATCATCGCAGGCCTCAATTTTTCTCCTGTAGTGGCCACTCGCATTCTCAAGCGGCACAGCTCTCCATCCGTTGCATCATAGCGGCGGCACTGATTCACACACAAATCTGCAAGAGGCCTTCGGCATGGAAGGGATCTGTCAGCCAAACGCGATCCGCCGTCGTGTTGACAAGGGGGTTCGCCTTGGCAGATCACCAGTTGCAAGGTCTGGCTGAAGTCCTGCACGGATTTGATGCTGGACTCCCACCCCAACGTCTCGGTGCTGAACGTTTCGGATCCGGTTTCGCGGTGCACCTCAAGCCTCAAGCCGACATTGGCCCGGGCTGCATGGAGCGGAGCCAGCGGCTGCAGATGGCTGCAGGGCTTTCTCAGACACGCTTCCGCTCCCATGGGGGGGTCTGCAACACGAGACTCTGCCTGTCAGGCTGACATGCAGATCAAACGCAATTCATGCCTTTTCGCTACCTCTTCTCTCTGTGCGGCACGCGCTATCTGAGGTAGAAGTACAAACCATGATCACACTGATCTTCGCGGCAAGCCCGGAAGCGTGGTGCTTCTGCAAGATCAGCAACTTTGCAAGCTGCGCCCTGGACTGAATACAGTGGCGACCGTGATGGCTAACCTTATGGCTGGGCGGCGTCCATCTGCATGATCCTCAGTGTTTTCATACTACAAAGCAATGCATCAACAAGCTCATGTCAATTTCAAACTTGAGGGCCGGGGACAGGGGAACGAAAGCTGGCCTAGGTTGGTAGGATTGCAAGCGAAACAGAGCAAGCATCATCTCATCTAACCACAACAGATATGGAAGGCAAACGGAGCTGACGAGGCGGGCTCCAGGCATCCGCAACTGGTAACTTGAATTTTGGTTTTGATGTGTTTCGTGGATTTTGCTTGTTCGTGTAACGGTTTCCCAATGTTTTATTGTGTTTCCGTCAGTTGAATAGCCACCCCACACCACAGTCACTTGAATTTTTTTATGTCGGTTATGATGTGTTTTGTGGATTTCGTTTGTTTTTGTGTATAGGTTTTCACTAATGAGAGAGGCTATGGACAGTGCAATCACGAGAGCTCTTTTGACTGTGTGCATTGTCCCACCTGCATGTGATGCGTTACTGCGCCGAACTGGCGATGTCTGCCGCCATGCCCATGCCGAGCTAGCAGCCTCAAATGCTGCTTTGTTTCGCCGGAAACAGCCGCAGTGCAGCCAATGCCCAAACGCGGCCTTGCCCTTTAAGCATCCTAGATGATGCCTTGAGGCCAGCTCCTGACACCTAAGCGCTCTGCCGCTGCTTTCTTGAGCAACATTGCTTTGGTTGCATAGACGACCGGTGTACTCGCAGCACTCTGATACCCAGACGTTGAAGCGCAGCTGAAGCTCCTCTGTGACCTGACACGTCTTCCTCCGCCTTTGCTCATTCCATACATTCCCGACAACTTCGTCGACGAACTGCCAACACTGCCGGTGAGCCCTGACTGGAATGCCACATTTCTTCATGATCACTGGCATGATGTTGCATCTGCTGTTGAACCAACACTGTATGCACCACGATTTGTCATCCCAAGGCTTCGGCTTCAAATCAAGAATCGTGTCATGCAGGCTTGATGCGACAACAATTTTCCAGTTCTTCTCAAGTGTGGAGGACATGTGAGCAAGTATGCCTCTCCACAGCATGCGCGAACCATCTTGCAAAAGTTATTGTGCAAGCTATTGGTGTCTGCTTGTTTCTGTTTGCCCGCATGCAAACATCACTCGATGTCCTTCAACTGCAGCGTTCCCAACTTCAGTGGACATGCCACTGCCTCCGAAAACAGACTCTGGAATCCACACATCAAGAAGTTACACGTGTACCTCAACCACATATCCAACAACGAGTTGTGCATACCAAGCTTATTGCATGATTGTGTAGTGCCCAACTTCAGCTTGAGGCCGTCGACTGAGTCAAGCGTATCTGCCGTGCATTGGCTACCATGCTTTGTGTGAAAAGCAGAGGAATCCACTTAACTCCCAGTCACAAAGCAGAGCGCAATCCATCGTATACCCAGCAAGCAAGGCAACTGCAGAGGCGGGGCAAAGCTTGAGGTACAATCGGAATCTAGTACCGTTAGGTCCGCTAGGTTAACTGCACAGCTAAGAGACAAAGCTAGGGCGACTCTACGCACTAGCGGCCTTTTGCTGGACGTTGCACGAGGCACATCTTGAGCAGTCAAGCTGTGGGTGAGACAAAGTTGGCATGAGACGTAACAAGCAAACAGGGTGTACGCGTGCACAAGTCGGTGACAAATCACACTGTAACCAGCGCCCTACGCTTATGATTCAGGTGTTCGGCCAGCTCTGTCAAATACTGTGACATCGGGACTTCGATTGCTGCACCTGTACGAAGAAGCGACTTGTATGCTTCCCACACTTGCGTAGCCCTCGTCCTCACTCTCGAGTTGCTGCTGGAGCACCTCCACTGTAGGTCCACATGGTCGTCTGCGCTCAGCACGAACGATTCGGTCTGCATATTTGTCAATGTCTCCTTTGCCACTGCCTCCAAGATCTCAGCGAAGCCATCCTCCGACAGATCATGCGGGATACTTCTTTCAGCGTCGCTGATGGGCGTTTTTGCAAAGAACCTATGCCAGAAAGGAGGTCTCGCAGTATCCGGTCTAGCTTGTTATCCAAGAAGTCGGAGTGGAGTTCCTCTGCAATCTGTGTTGTTGTCCATGCTGCTTGCACAAGCAAATGACTCTACGTCGACTCGACGTGGTCTTTAATCACTTGAGTTGTGTGAGAGGTTCGGGCCTCCAATCATCAATCACCTGAGCTGGTGGATCCTCAGTATGCGAAGCAGCTGCTGATTCCTCCACCATTGGCTTCACAGATGAAGGCACCGTCGACACATGTCCGTTCAGAAAAGCATTCAATATAACTCCTTTGTTTTTGGCACGCTGCAGACTGGCTTCAGCTTGAAGTTTTGCCATATGTCGTTCCTCTCTGTTCTCATCTTCCGTCGTTTGCAGAAGGTTAAATGCCCAATCTGGCAGCCTCTGCAGCTCATCTGACATGGCTGCTCTGCTTAGCGTGGTCCATGCTCCCAATGCGCACTTTCAAGCAAGCGAGAGTCAAGAAATGCTTAAAGTATGTTCCACCCTGTGTTTTAAGATAGGGAAGGCACCTGGACAGCTAGATGCCAAGGAATGCCGAAAGTATGTTGCACCCTGTGTGCTATGCCAAAAAGTCTGTTGGACCAAACCTTAAAACAACCCTTGGGCAACGGAGATGGGACTCTGGGCAGGGGAAAACAGAGCATCATCACCTCCAGCAAATCCAACCACATCGATAACTGAGGGGAGGCAGGAGGGGGGAGGGGGTGGGGGGGGGGGNNGTGGGGGGCCATTTGCGAGATAGATAGATAGATATATATATATATAAATTCTAAGGTCTGGGCGGCATCCAGGTCCCCAATGCTTACGCCGCAGATAGAAACGAAGGCTCGCTAAGCTAGCTTTCGTGACATCCATCCGGAAAATACTTAGAAACACCGCCGAATGTGCGACGGGCATCTTCTGAAAGTCGTCGAACGTCAGCAAGCCGTCCTACGCATAATTGCAGATGGGGTCCACTCCTAGCTTGGCACTCTCTTCCACTCTCGAACTGCTCCTGGTCGCGGTCGGCCTCGTGGAACAATGAATCAGCTTCGTCTTCCTGCGTCGGTCATTCAGGCAGGACTGGGATTGAGCGATGCTGTCAGCACTGTTGCTGGTCCTCGATATCTCCACTGAAATGTCGTAGAGCTCGAACGAAAGTGGCTTTGCCTGTGGCTGCATCCGAAGCACGCAGAGCGACAATGCCTGTGGCAAATCAAAAAGCACTTCTTTGCTGCCGAGATGCTGATGGATGCCGCATGGGTACCATTCGACTCCTTGCGAAGCGCCTGGACTGAAGGAACCCCTGCTCCGCTCATGACCTCAAGCTAGCCTACAATTAAGATCAGGGTGGCGTTGACATCTCGAAGGCTCGAAGGCACAGGACCCTGAACTCACCACCGCGCAGTGCACCTCCCAAATGTGCTGCAGCTCCGCCTCACTGAACCCTGCTCGTCCTCAGGTTTTGAACCGGCGGGGCCTTTCACCTGCCTGTTGCGGGGCACTCGCGACGAGCTCAACTACGTGAACTTCGCGAAAAGCTGCTTCCAACATGCTGTCACCATACGAGTGCAAACACAACTCCAGGCCGAGGGCGGAGGGTATGGTTTGCATGCTTTTGAAAGTCTGGGCATCAGTTTATCTTCAGCTTTTGGCTACAAATACTTCGTGCTTTTACACACCGAGATCCCGTTTAACCAGCAGCGGGTCCAGAGAAAATCTCTGCTTCGACAACAAGTCCGTAGAGGCTCTTTTTGGTGGACGCTGACGGATGCTCAGGGCTGCTTGATCCTAGTAACTGGACTGTCTCAAGATCTTTGGTCTCTTTCACGTCCCCTCGAGGTTCGGGCAAAAAACAGCTGCAAACATCCGCTCAGCCGAGCATCGATCTACGCAGCCAAAGTAGTTGGCTTTCTCGTTCTTTGGCACCGTGCTCCAGTCCTTAGCCATGACTCAAAGCCTCAGACCTCCCGGAACTTCCTGAGCCAGTAGTCCAGAAACCTCTAGCGACGAGAGTGGTGCCTAGCTGAGGCTCGAAGGGCGGCATCGGTACAGGGGTCGGCCTGGGCGGCACCTCTCACGGGTGAAGGCCGACACTTGACTCTGCGCAACGCCGTTCCACAGGCGAAAAAGGGGGGATGACCAAATGGGGCAACCATAGAACCATATATATATATATTTTTATTTATGTATTTATTTATCTATTTATTTGTTTCTTTATTTATATTTATATTTATATTTATATTTATATTTATATTTATATTTATATTTATATTTACTGATCTATTTATCTATTTGTTTATTTATTCATTTATCTATTTATGTACTATTTATGTATTTGGTTGTTTATTTATTTATATTTATTTAATTTGTTTACTTGTTTACTTATTTATAACTAACGATGATCATATATATATATGTGTGTGTGTGTATATATGTGTGTGTGTAGTGTTTTGTGTTCTCTCTCTCTCTCTCTCCCTGCTTCCAAAGCATGCTATCACTGGCAGTCGCATGCAGTCGCTGAATCACTGAACATGCTGTCGCTCCGTCGCTCTCCGCTCCTCCCGTCGCCAAGCCCGGAGGCGGCGTTGCAGCGCCGGGTCCTCGCTTGTTGCCGAGGCCTCCTCCAAGTAGTGCCTGGGCAGACAGGCCGGAAGTCCCTTGGTTCTCCCAATACCAGTGATGTCAAGCTGCACAGCCATGTCCATCCAATGGCTTCGAACGTTGCCTTCGAGCTCTGGATCCTGCTTGCGTGCAACACTCGCAAGAGCGCTTCTGCCTTCAGACTGAACCAAGTCAGGGCTTGCCTCCGCCTGTCGCAGGTACAAGGCCCTGCAGGCCTGGCAGGGCTGCGGCTGCGGATTGACAGTGTCTTGCTTTCCATCCCAGCCGGGAGCTACAATCAAGTCTTGCTGCAGTATCTTGGGCGGCGATGGGGCAGAATGAGCGGCAGAGGAACATCACGCAGAGTTTACAATCGCTGCGATGCACGAAACCAAAGAAGTGCTGACCAGAATCAATGTGGGCCAGGTACAAGCCGACTCGAAGTCAGTGTGGCCCGGCCCCAGCCACACAATATAGAATGAATGAATAGATAGGGCGGGTGTAAGCACGAGGTGTCATGGCCTCTTTGCACTCCGCTGCTCTTGCCAGCTCTTGCCAGGCTCAGCAAGCATTTTGTCTGCTTGTCCGTGTGCTGGCAAGCATTACGACACTCGAGAGTAGCTCGGGGCAGAAGCGACTGCTCAGCAAGACTCTTCTTGCCAAATGTACCGTGGCCTCGGCAGCGATGTGTAGAGCTCGTGGTCTCTCAAGGCCAAGATTCAGGACGGCCACACAGTCGTCCAATGCATCCTGCAGAATTACAGACTGGAGATCAGGGGACTGGAAGGCCACTGCCAAGTGCAACCGGCCTTATGTTGCCACTTCTGGTGGAGCACCTGGCAAATGAAACTACAAGAGACGCACAACGTCTCGCATCCTCACGGCCCCCATATGGGCACAGCCTGCTGCCCTCGCCTCAGCACGTTTTAGCAACAATCCACAGCGCAGCGGTGCCACGGCGGAGTCCTCCACAAAGATTGAGCGGCAAGCAGCTGGAGTCAAGAGCGTCTGATCAAGTGCCCTCAAATTCGAGGGTGCTTTGGCAATCTGAGGCAATTCCTCCGCCGGCAATACACCCAGCGCATCTGAGTACAGCCTGTCGGCGCTGAAGACGTCACCTGGCCAGACAGGTCGGTAGAACCATCCCTCTTTGCACTGTATCGGCGCAAACCGACGATACTGCAACAATCAGAGTCACACCAGTCTGGCTCCGTTCGCATGCGTTCAGCACAACAACACCCCATCGAAGCTGCCCCTTCCCATCGAGTGCTTCGATTCTCTGTTTGCAAGGCCCACAAGCCACCTGACTCTCGGCTGGCATCGCCCTGCTTCAGGAAAGAGCCGGCCATGGTCACGGCGGCAAAACCTGGGATCTCGTTGCTTCACGCTGAAAAAGAACTTCTGCGGCTGGCATGCATGCATGCATGCATGGATAGATGGATGGATGGATGGATGGATGTGTTTATAGGTGTGAAGAAACACATATATAGAGAGAGCGAGCACGAGGAAGAGAGAAAGAGAGAAAGATGGATCCGGTAGAAAGATATATGCATACGCACACACACGCACGCACACACACACACACACTGTATATCTGCATGTGTGGATACACAAAATTTGACTGGGCTTTCAAAGTCGAGTGACAAACCCAGAATGCCCCACCCAGTCTCTTCTCGCGCTGGTCTCAACCCCATATTCTCTGTGTTTCCCTTTCTTGCGCTCTCTTCCCTTCGTTGGCCGGGACGCGCCGGGCCGTGGTCAACTCTTCTCGCAGGCGGACGACAGGCAAAACCTGCCACAGTATGCTACAAATTATTTGGGAAGGGCAGCACAATGCTTTGGATCATTTGATGGGGGTTGTCTGGCTGTTGCGATTGAGTCTTGTTTTGCTCGGCCCCTTACAAACTCCAAGGTTGTTTGTTCAGCTCCTGCCCCCCACAATCCCCGCAAGGTCTGTTTGACAAGTGCCACTGCCGCATATCCCCGTCTGCTCGGGCTGGACGATGCAAAGCACCTGAATTCAAGATTGTATGTACTTGGCTTGCTTCCCCTCCGATAGTTACTCAAAGCCTCTGAGGCGAGCATTCCCTTTTGTCTCTTCGGATTGACATGGCTCCTCAGTCCTCCGCATGCTTGCCTCCAGGATCTCTTCCTACTCCTTTCCATACACAGCCTCTGGTCTCCCTTTTGCATTTGTGCCGCAAGCTGTAGAGACCAAGCTTTGAAGCAATCTGGTACAAATTGAATACAACATCGAGCCGAAAACAATCACACAAACTCCAAGGAAACAGGGTTGGGCGACGATCACAACGGTTCTCGGAAGTTGCATGAAGCTATCTCTCTGAATCTCTGTCTGAAAACAGAAAGCAGGCCAAAATGTCCACAAGCACCTTGCGATGCTGCTGAATCCGCCGACCCCTGCTGGGGCGG